TGATCTGTGCAGATTTCTCTCCTGATTCGGACCAGAACACTTTTTCACTGGAGGAACAGTTATTATGGATTATATGGACTTTTAGTTAAAAGCGTCTTAATGCTGGATTTGTTTCAGCTTTTGTCTTCTCCAGATGTTAGCTGATGGACTGGAGTGGTGTGGATTACTTGTGGATTATTGTGATGTTTTTATCAGCTGTTTGGACTCTCATTCTGACGGCACCCATTCACTGCAGAGCATCCATTGCTGAGACACTGATGCAATGCTACATTTCTACAAATCTGATGAAGAAACAAACTCATCCTAATCTTGGATGGCCTGAAGAAGAGCACATTTTCAGCAAATGTTCATTTTTGGCTGAACTGTTTCTTTAAGTCTTTGGCTGTAATGGTTGTACAGTTGTGTATTGGATGTTGCATTATACAGTATCTTTATTATAGCACAAGAAAGCCGCTCATGTGGCTTCCGACCGTAGTATGTTAAGTGCCAACAGCCTGTTTTTATGTGTTCTCTCAATCCGCAGGGTTCGGCACGAACAGCACGAGCCACGTTTGTGTTTGTGTGCTTTATACATATATAGGGTCAAATAAACAGGTGTTTACTTTTATATTTCGTCCCTCTTCATGCAGTACTTGAGTATGTGTACTGCTTTGTATAATCGACAACGAGAGCATGTGTGATTTGATTTGGAGAAAGTGGCAACTCTTTTCAAGGACAAACATTTCTGCATGTGAGTGATCCAGTGTCTTACTCTGATGCCAGAGCCTTATTTTCCCCACATGCATCTTCGGTTCCTCCTGCAGCTCTTGACAGGCTGATTATACGATGATGACGGTATTTCATTCTACTCTAGTAAGAGTCATACTGTGCCAACCGGCTAACGCAATCAGCTGGAAACTCCAGAGCAAAGACTCACAATATATCATCTCTGAACTGAAAGCAAACCTGCTGAATAAATTTGTTTTACATTGAATTACCTGTGTGGTTTATTGCATTTACATGTGCGCAAAACATCCTGGAAAAGTAATATTTAAACCAATGGTTAAATTAGACTGATTTAAATATGCATTGCTTTAAATATTATATTTGCTCAATTATTGCCCCAGCAAATGCATGCTTAAAATGCATTTTCAAAACTTGTGAATTCTTAGTTTTCTGTGCACAAGTAAATAAAGGCTAAAGTAATATTTAAGCAAAATTTTAAGAAATTTGAATGTTTAAATTTTGCACTACATTTGCTCAATATCACAGCAAATGTGCTTAATTTTAACTTAAATGCATTGTTCATAAATTCATGTCATTTAAAAATTACTGAGTTTGGAGATTCAACTTCATACCATTAAAATGCTTCACTGTTACATTTTCATTGTTTAATGGACAATCCGATATTAGCAGCTATTATTATTAGATATTGAGCTCGCAAAATAAATTTGTTTTATATTGAATTAGCAGTGATTTAGTTCTTTTCTGCATTACATGTGCTCAAAAAATCCCTGGCAAACACAAAATGTTTATTCATTTAAATATGCTTACATTTTATTTTGTATTACAGTTGCTAAATTAACGCCCAAGCTAAACTCGTTAACACCGACTAAAATGCTTTTTTGTTTTTTTTGAAAATCCATACTTTTAATCTTAAGTACTTCATTCATAGTATTCTAAATTTACAATTACACCATATAAAATTTTTTAAATCATGCATACTATATGAAACGCTATGAAATGCTTACATGCAAGACATTTTTTACTGTCGGCATTAAAAAAAAATCTTTAACAGACATCAATTTTATATTAGCAACAGGCTTGGCTTAAAATGGTTTGTACTTTTAAAAATAAATGCAAAAACATCCCCATTTTGTTGGATTCGATATATTCTAGGCCTGTTGTGACATAACATTGCACAAACTATAGGTTTACTGCCTCTGCAAAGAAGCATTTCAAATGTACAAAATGTAATTGATTTACAAAACCTTTTAACCAAAAAAAAGTGATTACATTGGATCCACTTGAAAATGTCCTCAGGGAAGTATGAAGACACAAAATGGTTAGAAAAATATAATGGGCATCTCTAAGGTTAATTTTTTTTTTTTACACAGAAGGAAAAGAACATGATGAAAGTGCAATAGTTGGCAAATGAACAGACAAATTCCAGGCAACTGTTTTCAGCAACATTTTATTTGAACAAAGCTCCTGAAACACGTCGATGCTCCAGTCTACTTCAGCTTCTTCTTGGGACGCAGGTTGTTGGTGTGGCCGCACTTCTTCTTGCGGCAGTTGACGGCACGTGGGTGCAGACGGGCGTAACACCTGAGACGAGAACATCACTTCATTATCATTACTTTCTCAACACAACACTGAACCATCACCAACACGTGACCTACATCAAGAGGACAATCACTAGACTGTACAAGTGAAGCCTGTGCTCTTACTTGCGGCAGATCATCTTCTCGCAGTTGTATTTCTGGGCCAGCTGTCTGAGGGACGGCTCGATGATGCCTCCTCTGAGACGCAGCACCAGGTGGAGGGTGGACTCTGAGAAAAAACCACAAACACCATCCAATAAATACAACAGCAAATGCTATGGACATGAGAGTGGTTTTCTTTTTCAAGTCCGTCCAGTATTTAGACACCTTTCTGAATGTTGTAGTCTGAAAGTGTGCGACCGTCTTCCAACTGTTTGCCAGCGAAAATCAGACGCTGCTGGTCAGGTGGGATGCCTGAGGAACAATAAAGACATGTTAGTGGTCTGGAGAAGAATTAAAAAATAAATAATAATAA